AAAAAAAATCCTATTGTTGTTGTTGTTAAGTGCCATTGAGTCGATTCCAACCCATAGTGACCTTTTATAGGATTTCCAAGGAGCAGCTGGTGAGCTTGAACCACCAATCTTGCAGTTCAAATGAGTTTGCAGTCTGACGCATTAGCCCACAGCACCACACCAAAAATCCTATTAGGAACTGTGAATTTGGAAGTTACTAAATCTGTTAAAATGATCCATGAATTCTTTGCTGTTTAAAGTCCTTGCAATATGCAGTTTCATTTACAATGGTAATTTATAACAGATTTTTGAAAACTTAAGATATGAATAATCTGTTTATGGATATGGAAACATTTCCCCTGTGAAGTTCCTACAACTGTTTTAATTCTGCAGATCTTATGTTATTTTAAGTATCCTCTTTCTATAAATTTAGAACTCATGTATTCAAAGGTACCCAGTGAATTTAGTCACTCTACAGAACAAAAATATTCTAAAGAGCTAAAGTCTATATTTGCTCAAAGGCTATTGCAACTCAAAGAATATAAATCTGAAAATGTTAGACCTATCTTGCATTCACCATTGTTGGCGATTAGGAATAAATACTACTTCTTAGGTACCATTTATTTATTCATTGTGGAAATATATTTTTTTAATGTGGAAAATAAGTGTAGGCATCTATGAAGAGAGCCATGCAAGCATGTGGTATATTAGAAATGAACTATTGATGAAAATCTCTGCTTGTGGAGCACTGTTTTGCTCTTCTAGCTACTAATTGCATTCACTGTACTAGCTGATTATGTTTACATTTAAAAGAAAACATTTACAGATAATAATAGCTTTCATCCTGAAGTGACTACTGACTATATATATATTGTCTTTTGCAGAAAATCCATTCACGGGTCTAGGCTATTCAGCTTGACATTACAGAGTGAGCCTCCCATAGAAATGATAGCTCCAGGAGTGTGGGATATAAATCAACTATCCCCAGTGACCCTGCAGGTAAGTGCCAGGCTATGAGATTAAAGTATACACGGCAAGTATTGGTTGATAAGCAGCTTGCTGTCAATTACAGAAACAATTTTCTTCCAAGTTCACACATTTTAATAGTCTTCTTATATTCCAACCTGCTGAGATTTGTGAAACCTCTTCTGCTTTTATTGTGCATTCAGTACCCATGAAGCTGTTTTCTAACAATCTATATAATAGAAATTTGAAGCCATTCTCCATAAAATAGGATCACAGAAGAAGAAGTTGTAGTGTTGCCATTATTATATTCATTATGTGCATTTATCTTGCTTTCTATTGTCTCAAAGCAGTCATTAGTATATATTATTAACTTGGTACCTGTCATGGCTTGAAATGTATTCCCCCAAAATATGACAGGACCACTATTCTCAGGAATTTGGCAGTTAAGATATTGTAACACCCCCCATATGATGAGATCTAATATAATGTAATTACCTCCATGAGGAGGTCTAATATAATGCTATTACTTCCATGATTGGATCTGTTATAGATCCCTATTTGAAGAGAGGTTTCCTCAGGGGATATGACCTGCAAATTTTTCATCTTACAAAGATAAAAGGAGAGACAAGTAAGCAGGGAAAGAGGGGCTACCAAAGAAGAAAAGCCAGGAATGTGTGGGCCTTTGGACCTGGGGTCGGTATACTATGAAGCTATTCGATTAAGCAAAAGATTGCTTCACTATGAACACATTGAGATTGTCTAAGGCATGCTGGACATACAGATGCTGAAAGGAGACAAGGACTTTCTCCAGAGCCACTACTGTGAATACTAACTTCTAGCCTCCTAACCTGTGAAAAAAATACCTTTCTGTTTGTTAACGCCATCCACAGCATTAGATAACTAAGACAGTATTTCAACCACACCCTACTTACATTGTGAGCATAGTGACTCTGTAGGCTATGCATTGGACTACTAACCACAAAGTCAGTGATTTGTGTCCACCAACCACTCCATGGAGAAAAGATAAGGCTTTGTGTTCCTACAAAGATTTATAAGTCTTGGAAAGCTTATACTAAGTCACTAGGAGTTGAAACTGGATTGATGGCACTTCCCACCAACTCTGCATTGTGTCATGTTCCTTTAAACTCTCTTCTACTGTATATTTCCTACATGGCTAACAGTTAACTGAGTAGTTGGGGACAACCGAAATAAATCCACATACTATACTTGTTATCCCTTAATAACTCTTGACTTTTTGTGATTTGTGATTATAAAGGAAATGTGGTCCATAACTCCATGTTTTGTCCTTATTACTGATAACGTCTCACTGGTTCATATTAATGGTTGATCACAGTGGTCAGTTTCCTAAAGCATTGACAGTTTCATATGTGGGCTTCAGAGAAGAAGAACTTTTATCTATAGGAAAAAATAGCAACTGCTGTTTGAGCAGCAACAGGGTTTCTCATCCTAAGTAATATTGATAATTGTTGAGTCTGTCCTGACCCATAGTGACTTTGTATAAGGTTTCTGAGGAGCAGCTGGCAAACTTGAACCACTTACCTTGCAATTCAAACCAACTTTGCAGCCCAGTGCAGTAACCCACAGTAACACACCAGGATAGATTGGACTGGATATTTCTTCATTGTAAGTGACCTTCCTGTGCATGATAGGATGTTTAGCAGTATAACCGGCTTCAACTACCTAGATAGCAGGAGCACCTCTCTAGTTCTGGCAACCAATAATGTATACAGACATTGCCAAATGGTCTCTGAAGACATAATTTTCCCCAGCTAAGAATCACTACTCTACAGGAAAG